CCCCCCCCCCCCCCCCCCCCCCCCCCCCCCCCCCCAAAGGAAAGGCTTGCCGGCTCCACCACTTGCACACAATATGACCCACACAAAAGAAGGGATCTGACAGGATATGCGTCACGTGACGTGGGTCTATTCCTCCTCCGAAGATTCCACCGCCGCAGCCATGCGCGGCCGCCGGACCCCAAGCGAGGCGAGCAGGGCCCCGGCCGGGCCACCCGCGCCCGCCCCGGCGCCCAGATCCCCGGCCGCCTCGAGGGACTGCAGCAGGTTGGTCACCAGGTTGAGATCGAGATCCGCGTCGCCGGCCGGGCTGGCCGCTCCGACGGACAGGTCCTCCGTCAATCGGGCGGCCTTCTCATGCGTGCCGAGCTCGGTCGCAATTTGTTGCATCAGCGCCCGAACCAGATCGGCATTCTCCGGCGAGAGGTAGTCATCCTGGCCGCTGTCCTCCGAGTCGTCGCTTGGCGAGTGGGCCGGAGCCGAGGGGGGCGATGGCGCAGGGGCCGATGGGCCGGCCATGCGCAGGAAGGCCGCCCGCGCGTCAGCCGCCGGAGCGGGCAGCGCCTGCCGCCGGCCCTCATCCTCGGAGGAGGCGCAGGAGGAGGTGGAGGAGGCGCAGGAGGAAGACCGCAGGTAATGCCCCAAGGCCAGGGCGTCAAAACGCTGGCGCAGGCGCGCTCCGGCGCCCAGGCCCTCCCACGGGGCATCGGAGGCCTCCGAGGCGCTTGAGGCGTCGGACATCTCCGGGCCGCCGGAGCCCGCGGATCCCAAGGAGACGCCGGCCGGCGCCTGTGCCCCTTCGAAGCCACTTTCATGGTGGAGAAATTGCCGCATGCGCTGGGCCAAGTCCTGGAGCTGTGCCAGCTCGGCCGTCTCGGCGTGGGACTCCTCCACATCGGACCCCTCGCCATCGGTGCTTTCGTCATCGGCGTCGGCATTGGTCCCCGGGTCGATGGAGGGCGAAAGGGCCGCGGCACTGTCCGCCCCGGCGTCGGCCGACTCGTCCCCCTCGGCGGCCAATTGCTGCAGATCCACATCCAGCGAGGCCAGCTGCTGGTCAATGTCCTCCGAACTGACGAACAGCCAGTCCAGCGATCCGGAGCCCCGAAGCCCGAGGCCAGCATCGCCGGTGCCGCCGGCCGCCGGGTCGACCACCGGCCGAACTGACAGACGCCCAGCCACCGGGACCAGCGTCGGGCCGGCCGATGCAACGGGGCTACCCACCGGCAGGGCCTTCGCCAGGCTGGCTGGCCTGTGGAAAAACCCAAGCCCCGGGCCGGCTGGCGCGGGCCCGGTCCATCGGTCGGAGCCGGGCTCCAACTTGGCCCCCTCCAGCTGGCTGACAAAATCGCGCGCCCGGCGTGCCAGATCCCCGGCCGGGGGGACATCCTCCAGGCAGAAGTCCTCCGTCGATCGAGGGAGCTCGGCGAAAGCCGGGCATGGCTCGCCCAGGCAGGCCAGCAACTGGAAGCCGGCGGCCAGGCGATAGCCCACCCGCCAGGCGATCGCCTCGAGGTCCAGCTGGAACCGGCGAGACCCCATGGCGGCCGGGGAGGCCCGTCGCCCGGCCAGGGCCCCAGCTCGTGCCAGCAGCCCATGCGCCTCACTCGGCACCAGGCCCAAGGGCAAACCCACCGACGAGGGCATGAATACCAACCGCGCGAAGGCCGGCCGGCTGACCGGCAGGATGCCATGTGTCCAGGGGAAGTCCGCATTCGGCCCGGGCGGCAGGAGCACCGGCCCGGGGGAGGCCAGGGCCGCCGCCAGGGCCCCCATGCCCGGCCCCGGCCCGGCGGCCAATTGACTCAGAAGTGCGAATGCCCAGGCTGCCGAGTGGACCAGCGCCGGGGCCGATGCCGGGCCCGCACGCTCCAGACACCGGAGAACCCCTGCCGGAAGCCACATGGCTGCCGAGTGGGGAATCGCCGCGGCCGCCTGCGGGCCATCCAACAGCGCGTCCAAGTATGCAGCCGTCTCGGCGGGCCAGCCGGCTCGTGGGGGGGAAGATCGCAGGCAGGACAGGGCAAACCCCGGGGCCAGACCGGCCGACAGATGGCGCATGTCGGCCAGAACGCGCACGCGCCCGCCATACAGGAAGGTCTTCGAGCATCGGGAGCAGGGGGGGAGGGGGGGGAGGGCATGTGAGTAGCGGCCCGGAGCAGGCAAGGGGGAAAGATGGGGGAAACGCACGCGATTGGTGCTGTTTTCGGAGTCCAGCCACGCCGGGAGGAGGGACGCCGCTTCGATCAGGAGGAAGTCCCCATCGGTGTCGCGGACGCTGGGGAGATCGTGCCACGTACACAAGCGGGTCCAGGCAAGTCAGCACCTTGCCGCTGGCAAGAAAGCAAGGCCCGGGAGAGAGGGGGAGCAGGGCACTGCTGCCCACCCGATCTCCGGGGCATGTGTGTGTGTGTGTGTGTGTGTGTGTGTGTGTGTGTACGTGTGTACGTGTGTACGTGTGTACGTGTGTACGTGTGTACGTGTGTACGTGTGCATGCATGTGTGTGCGTCTGCGCGCGCGCGCGCGTACCTGATGGCCACATCGTGCTCCCGAGACAGGTCTCGCAGCAGGCGCACCGTGGTCCACAAATCATCCAGCGAGTCGGCATAGTGCAGGTACCACAGGTGACACGTGTGCCCGGGGACCGGCGGGTGGGCAGCGCCTTCGACCGGCAGGACCACCGTGTAATGTGCCTCCGACAGGTGGGGCAGCTCGGCGGCCAGACGCCCCTGCAGGAAGTTGGTCCACACGGCGGGGCGATCTTCGGGCGACGGGGTGTCGGACCGTGGCGCCATCAACCGCGCTTCCAGGATCCCAGCTGGCAGCTGTGCCGCGGCGGACTCCGGCAAGAGAAACCCCGGGGTACTGGCCGATGAGCTCTGGCTCGGGCCCGGGCCCGGGCCGAGCGCACGGCCAGGCTCCGGCGCATACGGCACCAGGGGCACCAGCGCTGACGCCGGCTGCTGGGCCGTCAAGGCCGCCTGGCTCCCAGGCGGGAGTCTCCCGGAGGGGGCCATGTGCCGTGTGTTCTTGTGCGCTGAGGGGAGGCCAAGTGCCTGTGAAAGGCAAGGAGATCGGGCGAAGCAAGCAAGGCACCTCGACGGGAGGTGAGAAGGGAAAGGCAAAGAGAGGGTGGTATCTTGGCGGGTATCCTCCCCTGAGAGCAGGCCTCACCACACTGACCCAAGAGGGGGATTGATCGGGCCCAGGAGCGGGCGCGCGGGAGGGGGGGGGCTACACACCTAGATGCACGGGGCCACATGCGCGTCCATCCCACTCAGGTTGACCATGCCCTGTCGTCGCCAGCATACAAGCCGGGGTGAGCATCGGCCCCCCCCCCCCGGAATAGAGCCTCCGATTGAGGACGCGGCTGGCTCGGTCCAGCAGTGGTGCCAACGAACCCGCCTGGGCCCTGCTCCCGCTCCGGCGATAGGCCCTGGTCGGGCTCGCGGGCCGGCTGACCAGCACCAAGGGCGTCCAGTCCCCCCGGCGGTCCAACGAACGGCGAGAGAACCAGGGCCCACCGCGAGGCACGGGCGCCTTGGAAATCACAACAACAAAGGCCGGTCCCTGCCGGAGGCCCGCCGTCCGAAAGGAGGTCCGGGAAGGGGGGATTTCTGTGCGGCCAGGCCGCCGCCGTCCGATCGCTGCCGCTTCTCTTCAGCAGAGCCCCCCCCCCCCTCCTCGCGCCACGTCCTGCTGTTGCCTCACGCGTTGCGCCCTCCCCCTGTCCCTCCCCTCGCGCGTCCCCCCCCCCCCGACCCGCTGTTCGCCACGCTTGGGCTTGTTCCGCTGCACCAGTGGCTGGGGTGCGACTTGCGCTTCGGCGATCCGGCGGCCACGGTGCCGCCGGCGCGCAATGAGATCGGCGCCACTGCCCGCCGCGACTTGGCCGCCGCCTGCCGGACGGCCCTGGGCCGGACTGCCTCCCGGCGAGCAGGGCACCGGACAAGCCTCGCCTGCCACGCGCGCACACACGCACACACACACACACACACACCAGGAGGAAGACGCATTTGTGTGTCGACGGACAGACAGGCGCCCCAATCGCCAGCCATACCCCACACCCTGTTCGCCTCCGACTCACGCGCCGGTTCTCCTCCCCCCCCCCCCCCCCGCCCCCCCTCCGCTCACTGAGTCCCTCCCCGCTCGGCTCATGACTACCACGTCGGAGGTCGCGGCCGATGGGCCATCGGCCTTTTCCTTCCTGTCGCCGGCCGCCACGTCGCATGCATCCTCCTCGGAGGAGGATGTTTCATCGGCGGTTACGCCGAAGCCGGCTCCCGCGATGCCTGCCGCCCAGGAGGAGGACTCCTCCATGGCTGACGAGGAGGATGCCCTGAGCTTGGCTTTGGCTTTGGCCGGTGTCGGCGACGACCTGGACATCGACTACTCCCATCAGCCGGAGCCGTCGGCCACTCGGGCGGACGATCCCGCCGAGCCGGGCCCCGGGGCCCTGTCCCGGGATGCTTCCGACCACCAGCCACCGCATGAAGTGCTTGACGATGAGGCGGTGGCTCCATCGGCCTTCGGGTTCCTGAGCGCCGGGCCCGGCTCCCCGGTGGCCGTGATCCCTGATGGCGCCGCTGTTGCATCCTCCTCCAGCAGCATTGCCCTTGACGCTGAGGATCCCCTTCCGGAGGGCGCCCCGGAGGAGGTGGACTCCCTGCCAGAGGCTCCCTCGCTCCTGCTGCTGGCCGGGTCGAGCGGGCAGCTGCCGCTGCCAAGCGATGCGGCCATCGACGAAATCCTGTCCCTTTCCGCGGCCCATGGTGCGTGCTTCGCGCCCTTGGCCATTGCCCCATGCCGTCACTGACTTGAGGGGTTTCCTTCCCCCCCCCCCCCCCCCCCCCCTGTCCGCCTCCCCCTTTCGCATGTCCTTGGCCAAATGGGCTCTTTGCTCGCCGGCCAGAGCACCGCTCGTCCCCGGTGTCGCATTTGGCCCCGGCCACCCCGGGCCCCATCGCCAAGAAGCCGATCAAGCGGAAGAAGCGCTCGCAGGCCATCGGTGTGGAGACCACCGCCGAGCGGCCGGTCCTCGGGGCCGCGCCCGAGCAAGCCGCTGCCCCGGTGCAGGCAGTGCCCCTGGCACAGCCAGCCGGCTCTGGGGCGCCCCACGAGCAGGCTACCATCGAGAAGATGACCGTTCGAAACTCGACCCTCCCACAGCCTGCCCGTGAAAGGCCCGCCATCGAGGAGCCGGTCCACATGCTGCCAGCCACGGAGGCGGCCCCCCTGTCGGAGGTGCCGGCCATCGAGAAGTCGCCCCGGGCCCAGGCCAGCCGCAAGGAGGAGGCCGTCACAAAGCCACCCCATTCGGGGGCCGAGAGCCCGGAGGGGCGGCCGGACGAGGCGCCGGCCGTGCAACGCCGTGCTCGTGCCCCCCGCGTCCGTGCCCCCTCGCCGGAGCCGGCCCCCGTGCCAGCGCCCGCACCTCCTCAAACCACCTCGCCCTCGTTCTTCAGCAACTTCATTGACAAGCTGGCACGGCGGTCTTCCTCGGCTGGCAGTCCGCCGGCACTGGCCGGTCCGGCGGCCGACGAGTCAGCTCCTGAGCCCGGAGCTCGGCCACAGAGCGCCTCGCAGCCGGCCACCCCATCCATGCAACCGGGCGCGGCAGGCCGCCGGCCGGCGGCGGCGGCTGCCGTGACTGTTGCCACTTCGCCGGCCACCCCCCCGGCGAGGGGCGCCTCTGCCACGGGCGCCTCTTCGCCGGTGTTCCCGGGTGCCGGTATGGCCGTCCCCGCTGCCAGTGCCCCTGCCATGCCCACCACCCCGACCGCATCCTCCTCCAGCGATAGTCTCTCCCGTCGGGCGCGCCTCCGCGCGCACTATTCCCTGTCTTCGGCCGACAGCGAGGACGACTTGCAAACCAGCGAGGAGGAAACGGTGCTGGGGTCGGCCGGTGCCGCCCCCTCGGCCCCGGTGGCCGGTGCTGCGGCAGGTGTCGGTCCGGTGTCCTCTTCGCCTCCCTCCTCTACTGCCTCTGGGCCGCTGCGTGCCTTGCGGCAGCACCGGTCAATTGGCCTCGGCCAGCGTGTGCTCCAGCGCCTGGAGGCCGAGCAATTGGCCGCGCCAGCCGACCTGGCCGAGCCGGCCGGGCCTGCTCCTGTGCGGATGACCCGCCGGCGTGCCGTGCGCCCTGGCGTCGCCCCGGCCGCGGCCGATGATCAGGAGGAGGATTCCCTGCAGGAGGTCCTCCGGCGCATTGTCCAGTCGGTGGCCGCCGACACCGGGGCCGCCAGCCTGGCCGCCCCGGCCGACGAGCAGGAGGAGCATGATGCCGGGGATGAGGATGAGGAGGATGACCTCAACCTGTCGGGGCTTGTGGTTCGGTCGCGCGCGCGGCCGGGCCCCGGGCCATCGGCCACGTCGGACACGCGGCAACGCGTGTCCGGCGAGGCGCGCTTGCGGCAGCACATGCTGGCCGGGGCGGAGCTCGGCCTGGCCACCTTCCCGCCAGGCGCCAAACTGTCCTCCGCCCTGGAGGCCGCCCTGCAGGCACCGGGCCCTGGCCAAGCTCTCGGGCGCAATCCCTCGGCCGAAAAGCGCCTGCTGGATATCCTGACTGCCGATATCCAGGCCCTGTTGGTGGATTCGCCCGGGGACGGCGGCGCCGGTGACCTGCTCGGCGAGGGGTTCGACGGTGATGTGGAGCTCGGCCAGGATGACGACCCGGCGGACCATCCGCTGGCCGGGCTGGCCGGTGATGGTGAGGAGGACGATTTGGTCGGGCCCGGGGCCGGGATTTCCAGCCAGCTGGGCCTGGTGAAATCGGCCGTGGCTCGAGTGGGCTCGCTCTTGTCGCCGGCCGGTGAGCAGTCGCCGGCCGAGGATCTGGCCCTGGTGGCGGATTTGGAACGGCTGACCCTCTTCAGTGAGGACGAGTACCTCGATGGCGAGGCCGAGTCGACGGCGGCCGGCCCCCTCGGGGGGGAGCAACTCCCCGGGCTGGACCTGGTGCCTGGCAGTGAGGGCACCACCGAGGGCATGACCAGTGGTGGCCAGTGGCGTGCCCCCTGGCTCGAGGACTCGACGGCCCTGCCGGCGGCCCTGCGCCCGGATGTCCTGGCCCTGGACAACATCGAGCACTTGCTGCTGCTGCCGCCGGCCCCGGCGGTCGGCGGCTCGGTCACGGCCCCGGACACCGGCCGCCGCTGGGAGAAGCTCCTGCAGGGCGCCTCGCCGGCCGCACGCGATCGGGCCATGGACCTGCTCCTGTCCCTGACCGAGTGCGAAGTGGAGATGAGTGGCTTCCATCCGCCGGCCGCCAGCATCGCCGCCTCGGCCGGGGGCCCGGGGCCCGATGGCAGTGATGTTGGCATTTCCACCTCCGCGCCTGCCGGGCAGGATGGCACCGCCGAGCATGACAATGCGGTGGCCCTGCTCCTGGGCAGCCTTCGGACATTGGCCCGGCTGCAGGCGGACCTTTTGCGCGTGGCGCGCCTTGGCGCCGCGGCCATCGCCAACCAGGACTGGGCCGAGGCCGAGCTCCAGGAGCAGGTTCTGCATGGCCTGCGTGCCAGTGTGACGGCCGAGCGTCGGAAGCTGCTGATCATCGTACGTTGTGCTCCCGGACGAAGGGCCCTTTCGGGCGGCTGAAGGGGGCCTGAGTCCGGGCGGGGGGGCGGGACAAGACGGCGTAGGAAACACGCCGTGCCCATGTTCATGCATATCTGCCCCCCCCCCCCCCCCCCCCCCGTCTGCCGTGTCCTGACCTATATGCCTCTTGCTTGAAGCTGGAGACCCTGCGCGAGCACCATCAAGTCCGGACAGCAGTGCTGGAGGCCGGTGCTGCGGTGGAGCTTGAACTGTCGGCTGGCCTGGCCCAATTGAAGGTGTGTATATTTGATAATATGTCCCCCCCCCCCCCCATGGGGGTCTTTCCTGCCTTCCCGCACGCCCACTGACTCCCCAGTAGGATACCGAGCATGATACCTTCTCGCGGCGGACGGCCGCGCATGCGGCCCGGCTGTCCCGGCGGCAGACGCGCCTGCGTCTGCTGACCACCCGACTGCAAAATGCCCAGACGCATCTGGCCTCGCATGCGACTGCCATCGACCAGGCCACCGGGGCCCTGCTGGCCGAGGCGGCCGCCGTCCGCCGGGCCGAACAGGCCCGGCGAGTTGAGCTCTTCGCCGAGCGGTCGGCCCTGCGCGACGAAATCCTGGAACTCGAGACCCGGCTGGCCGGGCTGCGCGCGCGCGAGGCCGAGGTGGATCGGGCCATCCGTGAGGAGCGTGCGCAGGCGGTTGCTGCGGTGACCCTCCTGTCGGAGGAGGCCCATCGGCTGCGCCGGTCTCGGCGGAGCATCGCCCAGCGCCGGGCTGCCCTGGATCTGGCCCGGCGGGCGGAGGGGATGGCACGCGATGCGGCACAGCGCGACTCACGTCGGGCTCGCCGTCGCGAGGCCCACCGGTCTTTGGCGGTTCTCAGCTTTGACCGGCAATCGCGCGCCATCAAGCGCCGGTTCGTGGCCTCTTCTTCCTCCTTCTCTTCCTGGCACATCGGCACACCTTTGCCCATTATCTGAGGGGGGGGGGGAGAGGGCGCTTTGTCGATGGGATTGCGCTTATTCCCAACGAAACACACTCACACACGCGAACGCACACACGCACACACACACACACACACACATGCGCACCGGCGCGGACACCCAGTGCCCAGGTTCTTTTGCGCGAGTCGAATCTCGTGCGAGACTACCTGCACCGCTCGACGGCAGTTCTGCCCGGCGTGGACATCCCCCTCACCGGCACCGAGGAGCTGCATGCCCCGGAGGCCGGTGTCGAGCCTGGGCAAGTGGTGGCCCCCTCCGAGGAGGTGGCCCTGGAGCGCGGGCGCCTGAATGCCGGGCAGGCGGCTCGCCGTGCGCGGCGCCTTCATCGCCAGGCCGAGGGGGTTCTGATGGGCCTGCAGGACGACCTGCGGGATCTGGAAACCCGCAAAATCCGCCCGCTGCTCCAGCAGGAGCAGCGTGCCGCCGCTCTCGGGGACTTCCGCGCGGCCGGTCGCCACCGGCAGGCGGTTGAAGCCCTGCGCGCCGGGCCGGAGCGTGTCCTCCGGGCCCAGGTTGCCCACCTGGAGGGGGTTGTGCTGCCGGAGCGGCAGGCGGCTCTGCTCCAAGCCGAGGCCGAGTGGCGCCATGCTGAACGCCAGATGCAGGATCTGGACTGCCGCCGGTCGCGTCTGGCTCTGGCCTTGGTGACCGGGCGACTGGGCGAAGAGGCCGACTCCCCGCCCGCGGGCCGGGCTCCTGGCATTCGGCCCCTGCGCCGGGTGGCCGCCCAGCAAGCTGCTCATCGGACCGTGCGTGATCTCCTGCTCGGGGAGCATGCCCGTCTGTTTGTCGAGCGCGCCCTGCTGGAGACGCTGCTGCTGAGTGCGGCGGCCTTTGCCGGAGTGCGCGACCGGCCTGTGCCCGAGGATGGCCAGGACCACCCGGATGCGGCGTCGTCGGCCGACGACGCCGGTCCGGCTCCGGAGGTGGCCTTCGATGAGTCGGCCCTGGGCCCGGATGTCCTCGACCTGGAAAGCGCCCTGGAGGACTTCCTTCATGCTGAGCGCCTGTGGGAGCGGGCTCTGCCGGCTGCCACGGACGCCGCCCCGTCGGACAGCAACATGCCTGCGGGCACCCCGGATGACACCGCCCCTGGCGAGGGAGACACCCACCAGGACTCTGCCCCGGTCGTGGGCGAGACCTCGGAGCCTTCCCAAACCGGAGGGCAGGACGACGCCCGATCAGAGGAGGGGCTCCCTGCCGATGGCTCTCAGGAGGCTGCCGCCACTCCGACCGATGAGGATGCGGCCTCACAAGCCGAGGAGTCGGACAAGGAGGCCACAGCCTAGAGAGGCTGCCTCCCTCCCTCCCTCTCTCTCTCTCTCTTGCTGCCGCCGCCCCGCTCCCTCACTCTGGTTCGAGCGCGCGCATTTGCGTGGGCCCCTGGGAAGCGAGTGAAACTGTTGCATATATCACGTGTCTGGGAGGATCGAAATGTCCAGAAACGCCTGCCTCCTTCTCTTGCGTCTCTTTCGAGCGGCGTGTCCGGGCTCCTCTCGCCCCCCCCCCCCCCCCTCCCTCAGCTAGGCGGGCGAGAGCCGGGCCCCGCGGTGTGCAGCCCCACAAAATGCACACGAACACACACGTGTAGGGGAGAGAATACATATCCCAACCGACATGCACCTCTGGGGACCCTGGGCAAGGGGAGGCGTCTGTGGGGGGTGGGCGAAGAATGGCCAAGACTCTTCGGCGGGCCGGGGCGCGGGGTGCTGACGCCTGAGCCTCGCACCTTTCCCGAGAGTAGCGTGCGCGCGATAGCCTCCCCGCGCGGGGCAAGACACTCGCACTCGCGCGCACATGGTCCTCCTTGGCATCAGCCGTGGATACAACCCCCTGTGGTATTCTGACTTTTCAGATCTGAAGGAACCGCCCGCGGATCCCCCAGCCAGCCGCCCGGGGGCCCGGTGCAAAGGGCGCGCGAGGCAGCGCGCGAGCGCGCGCGCGCGCGCGCGACCTAAGACCCGAGGGAAGGTCCCGGTCCGGTGCATGTCCCGGTCCGGTGCATGTCCCGGGCTGTGGCCGGAGGGCGGCGGCGGGGGGAGCCATCGCTTGTTCGCGGCGCCCATCTGGCGAGGGGCCTCTATGCCAGTCCCTGTGCCCCGGAGCCGAGGCTGCTGGGGGCAAAGCCGTTGCCAGCATGCAGGCCCCCACGCTGGCTCCCCGCCATGTCCCAACCTCGAAAAGGCCCCGCCGTCGGACGTCGTGGGCAGGTGGTGCCCGGATCGGGGCCGGGCGGACCCATGGCACAGGCACCACCACGACCCACAGCCGGACTAGGCTTGGCCACACACCCGGGTCGGACCCTCTCCCCGCCCCCGGCACCAGATGGGGGGG